TAGGGAGGGAGGGAGGGAGAGAGGGAGGATAAACATTGCTCACTCCGATTCAATCTTCTGCAGCTGCGACATGACGTCCTTGAAGGACGTGGAGTCCTCTAGAACGTCCTTGTGCTCGAAACTCTTAGTTCTGTTCACCCGCAGCTGCGCCCAAAGGCATCCGCTGCCAGACTGCGCCTGATGAACAGGAGGTCGGCATGGTAGGTGAAGCACACGCTGTACTCATGGAGGGGAATCGGAGAGGCGGCAAGAAGGAGAGTGAATTGATGGGGAGAAGTTTGATGGAGGAGTGAAAGAGGAGCGCTGTTTGAATACGGATACATCTTCACGATGAGGATGATTTGAGAGCGCGCAGGACCCCGAGGACTAGTGGGAAAGCTAGCAAAGCGAGGATGGAGTGCTACTGCCTAAAAATGAGCAGTGAAAGGATTCTTACCTTTCTCTGTCTCCAGCTCATCGTGTGTTATGCTCGTCCAGTCTCCTGCCTCCTCCTCCTCCTCCTCTTGTCCTCCTCGTCCCTCTGTCGCAAGAAAATTTCCCTCGAACAAGACAACTTGAGGATGCAAAAAGCATGGGGGGTCAGGGTGGGAACTCTCAGGGAAGAGGGGGTACTCAAACTGGGGATTTGAGGGGGTCCTTGATAAGGAAACTGGTGAAACTGGTCCCGATGTTAAATGACAAACGGGTAGGGTGGTCGTCGGAACTTCCAAGGGGGTGCTATGAAGCGGTGAGAGGGCTAACGGGGGGTAGGGGTAGGGGTAGGAGGTAAGGGATAGTAATTAACTTTGACGAGGTTTCCATGGGATGATGGGGGGGTAGGGTGAGCATTCTGCTGGAGGGGTGTGGGGTGGGGTGGGTAGTGGTGGAGGTACGGAAAGTACAAATGGATTGTAGGCAAGAGGGTGACATGAACCCAACCCGCTGATGGTGGTCAAAGTAGGGGGTGGTGAGAAAAGGGAGATAGGGGTGGGTACAGTTCGCTTGTACTGCAGTGATCAAGGTTGACTTTCCCCGTAACAGGGGGGTCCTTTGCGGCGGTGACGGGGTAGTCTCAATCGAAAGTCACTAGGGGTATAGAGGGGGTGGGGTGGTGCGGCACAGGGCAGTTGGGAAGGATGAGAGGTCTCACTGATACCCCAGTAGGTACTCTCCTGATTGTCCTCGTACTGATTTTAACTTAACTTTGAGTAAACCGAGTCAGAGTAAGACAGGCCGGGCACACGGTAGTGACTTCGAGTGTCGGACTCTGATGATGGCCGCCGGCCCGGACTGCCGGGCGGCGCCACCGTGCCACGGTGAATCATCATGCCAGTGACTGGTTCCGAAGCCTCCGTTCACCAGGATCGGATGAGGCTTCCGAAGGTACAAAGGCACGTGGGTCCTCCCCACTGAGTAACCCAGGCCCGACTCAGGCTCGGAGTCCGCCGTGTGCCACGGTAAGAAGGCTTGGTTCTGACAACCCAGGCTCAGAAGACTCTCCGAAGTTCTTTCAGACGCGAGAAGTTCAGGGCTTCAGTGCGTCTCATCGAGTGGTGAACCAAGTCGGAAGCCTGCAGGTCCGAGTAAGGCAGGGGCCCGGGCGGCTGGAGAGGCTTGCCAAGTTGCCCGGCCGACCCGTCCCGGGCGCGGCCAGCCCCGGGCCCCTTCGGAAAGTTCAACAGTGATGTTGATCATCGGATTGGAAAATGGTCGGATTGCAAGTGACAGTATGGTGAGGACGTCTGACAGGAACTTCGGAAAAGAGCACGAGCTCGAGAGCTCGAACTGCCATGGCGGAGGTTTACACGAAGTCAAGCCTGGTTATACTGGAGAGGGTATCAGAGCCCTGCGAAGGTGAGCTCAAGCCTCCCGGCGCACACGCGGCAGCAAGGATCATCATCGATTCTTATAAAGCGCGAGTGGGCAGGAAGAGAAGCTATGGTCTTCTCTATTGTATTTGAGATGCATCTGGAATAAACGTCATATCACTACTCTTGAGCTTCAAGTCAGCGATGGCAGCGGACGTGCTTTGAGCGTGCGCTGAGTGTGAGTTCATAGTTTCAGTTGTCAGCAAGACTGCGCGCTCACCGAGCCTCAGTACTTAGAATGTCCTACTGGAATCTGTCTGGGAAAGATAACAAGAACAAAGGGAAGAATCAGAGACAAAGAAAAGTAGGCGGGTGGTTCTAGAGCAGTATTTGCGTCCTGCTACCCATCAAAAGTGTTCCAGTAAAAAATCTTAACAGATCTGGTTGCCCCTCAGTAGCATCTTGAAGGGCCTCCGCATCTCAACGCTCGAAACCATGCCGCTTGATGAAACGATTGCACCACCCCTTGCTCGCCACAAACCCTTCCACCCCCAGCTCTCTCGCGATCTCCCCTGCCCTCTTGCGGGTCTGCTTCCTCCACTGCTTGTCGTCGAGGTTCGCCTCCACAAACTCGTGCAGCCTTCGCTCCAGCTCCAAGTTGTGAGTCCTCGCACAGCAGCTCTGCGAGGCCTCCACCCCCACGCTGTGAATCGATCGCAGCCTTGCGATGTTCTCCGGCCGCAGGATCTTGGAGATGGCAGACTTGCTCTTGCCGTAGCGAGCCGCCAGCACAGCCTGCGGGGTGCGGTTGCACTCATGGTCTTGAGCGATGGCGAGCTTCTCGGCGATAGTGAGCTTGGTCTTGCTGCGGCAGGAGAGGCTGTGGGATGCTTTGCGCGACTCGGTCCACGAGGAGGAGCCAGAGCGAGGCGCTTGCGGGACAGGCGAGGGCGAGGAGCCTCTGGAATGCGCAGGAGCAAGGGGTATCGCTTCGATGCCTTCGGGAGGCAGGGGTCTTGAGAGGATCTCCTGATCAAAGCTGGTACCGTGTTCGCCGTACAGGACACGGTGTATGGGGTCGCTGGGCGCTCGCTCGAAGGTGGCGCAGTCTTGCCGCTCTGGTAGGAAGACAGAGGAGGAGAAAGGATCAGACTCCAGGGCGGTGAATGCGGTCGTCTGAAACATGCTGTCTTCAAGACCAAAGGAGTTGAATGTAAGAACAACAAGGTGGGCAATGAGGTTTTTTGAGTCAGTCAAAGCTGAAAGAGTTGAGTCATACTAGAGCAGAGCGTGATTGGGGATATGGAGGCTGACGAAGGGCATGCAGGAGGGAGACTCAAGGTTCGAGCAAAGGGAAGGGACGGAGGAAGGGAGAGGGAGGGGAGCGGAGGCAGGAACGGAGCGACTGAACGGATTGGGGGAAAAGGAGCAACCATATAAAGGAGGGGCCTGACAGTAATTTAAAAACTGTCACTTGTTGCCCGTCCTGGTCAACTTAAAAAAAAAATGATCTAGAACAATGTATGAAATGTTGTGGGGGGTATTTTGAAATGTAAAGGTGGGGGTTGAAAATCTCGTGGATATGCCTGACCTCTTCTCAATGGCCTCAGGCTGGCACCGTCCGTGAGCGACGGTCCATGAGCCTGTAGCCTGAGTCACACTGAGTACGGTACGGTCACCGGGGCGGTCGTCGGACGGTCCCGGCGACTCGCGGCGGCAATCCGATCCGCCGCCGCGGCCCGGCCCGGCGAACCCGCGGCCCGTCCGGCCCGCGGCGGCCGCTCCGATCCGAGGCACCGTACTGTCACTGCCGCCGCGCCGGCCGGGCCTGCCAGTCCGAATGAGTAGTACCGTGACTCCCGGCGTCTAAAGGACGGCCCCCCCCTGACGGGCGGCCCGGCAGTACTACTAGGCTTGTTTGCCTACTCGGACTCTGTGGAATGTATGCTGTAGCGAAGTACTACCGTACGGTACGGTACGGCCCGGTGAAGAGCAGCCTGGTAGCCGCGGGCACGGTGATTGATGGAAAGGAAGGCTCGGAAGAGGTTTGAGAGATCATCGGAGTAAGCCGGGACTGAGTCGGGACTCGGCGAAGAACTCACTGCCGGCTAGCTCAGTGCTGAGGTGACCCCCGGTGACTGCCATGCTCGAGTCAGCGTTACGGTTGTATAGTGTTACTAGGCTAGTTAAGCAGGGGGCCCGGCTATTCCTATGATCAGTGAAGTCTGACTCACTGAGGTCCACGTGACCGTGGGCCGTAGGAAGGCTTCCGGCGGCGGCTCTCGGAGTCGCCATCCGATTGCAGTACGGTACGGTCGCACACGCGGCATCATCGAATAGTTGTAATACTAAGAGAACCGTGTCAGCGGCTGCCAGCAGTGGCAGTGGCACGGTGCGGCGGCTTGCGGCGGGGCGACCGTCGTCGGGATCGCGGCCGGGACGGTCACCGGGGGGGGCCGGGGGTGAACCGCCGGCCCGGCCGGACTCCGGGACTCCCGGACACCATACCATACTATGATGTCCGTGACCGGCCGGCGGGCGGCCGGCCGGGGGCCGTAACTTAGTAACTGGGCGCCGGAGTCGAAGTCGGACTCCGGGAATATATAGCCTCACTGCGACCTGTAGTAACTTTGAAATGTTAACCAGTCCGAGCCAGTTTTAGAACGACGAGATTTTCAACCTCTCGGGCCTCATATTTCAAATCTCCACACTCCAATGTTTTGAAACATTTCAAACCGAACAGTTAAGTTGGCTTCTTATTTTTCAAGTTGACTCCGGCAACAAAAACGCACATTTTAAAACTTCCCTTTATATGTCTTGGCAACTTTACGTGACAGTGTTGAACTTACTCCCTTCCCCACCTGCCATCGCTCTTCTTGGCACATCCTCCCGCTCTCCTCTTCTCCCTCGATCCCGTCCTCCCTCCCTTCCCTTTGCTCTATCCGTGCCTCCCTCCTCGCGTGCTTTTTGGTCACCCTTCATTGAAACACACACTGCCCTTGTTATGACTGCACTCCTTCTCTTTGAGACGACCGCATCCTGCCCCCTGGAGTCTGATCCTTTCTCCTCGTCTTTCCTGCTATTCCATGACTGCCAAGACTGCGCCACCTTCGAGCGAGCGCCCAGCGACCCCATACACCGTGTCCTGTACGGCGAACACGGTACCAGCTTTGATCAGGAGATCCTCTCAAGACCCCTGCCTCCCGAAGGCATCGAAGCGATACCCCTTGCTCCTGCGCATTCCAGAGGCTCCTCGCCCTCGCCTGTCCCGCAAGCGCCTCGCTCTGGCTCCTCCTCGTGGACCGAGTCGCGCAAAGCATCCCACAGCCTCTCCTGCCGCAGCAAGACCAAGCTCACTATCGCCGAGAAGCTCGCCATCGCTCAAGACCATGAGTGCAACCGCACCCCGCAGGCTGTGCTGGCGGCTCGCTACGGCAAGAGCAAGTCTGCCATCTCCAAGATCCTGCGGCCGGAGAACATCGCAAGGCTGCGATCGATTCACAGCGTGGGGGTGGAGGCCTCGCAGAGCTGCTGTGCGAGGACTCACAACTTGGAGCTGGAGCGAAGGCTGCACGAGTTTGTGGAGGCGAACCTCGACGACAAGCAGTGGAGGAAGCAGACCCGCAAGAGGGCAGGGGAGATCGCGAGAGAGCTGGGGGTGGAAGGGTTTGTGGCGAGCAAGGGGTGGTGCAATCGTTTCATCAAGCGGCATGGTTTCGAGCGTTGAGATGCGGAGGCCCTTCAAGATGCTGCGGCTCGTGCAGTAAAAGACGAACGTATGATGACTATCAGACACCTCTGCTTATATGCCAATGAGAGCTCTGCCAAGTTTTTCAAGGCCTCTGAAGCAAGGATTCATATAGATCACGAGTGAGCAGCTAGAGAAGTTACGGTCTTCACTTCCCTTGTTTCCGCCAAGGCAGCAAGGGCTCTTTCGCCTTACTGGCTCTCTGAATTCAAGTTGTACCTCTGCTGTCGGGGCGATTAGCCCTTGAGGCTGTTATTTCACTCATTGCTTTGTTTGCAATTAGTATTGTGTTGTGTTGTGCCACTGTGAACTCGGCGCGGCTGAGAGCAAGTGTTCGGCGTAGTTCAAACAGCTTTCTAAGCCTAGTATGCCACGGTTCTTGAGTATGATGAAAATGTTCCCAAGTTCGCAACCGTCATCGGATGCTGTATCGCGGGGACTCCGGCGAGCTTGTAACCGTGACATGTCACTCACTCACGGTGACTCCCCGATGGAAGACGGGCCTAGCCTCAGTGTATGACGGTCACGGGCCTCGAAGCGGCTGATCTGGTGGCCGCTGAGGCTCCGAGAGGGTGAAGCCTTCAGCCTCACGAACTTGTCATCCCCGGGCCGGCTAATGACAGTCACATTCTGTAGGATTTCGCCCAGGAAAAACCAAGGAAAAGTGGCTTTTTGTCAGTTCTCGATCTCCCAGTACCGGTTATGACTAATGACCCGGTGGTTTCCCCTGAATAAGGGGGTGGTGGTACCTGGATTGTTTGAGAGGGGTCGTTGAATTAGTTTTTAATACAGCGTGTTTTTGTTCAAATATCTGATAGCTATTTTTGTATGAGTCAGTTAGACATTTGTACCATTTTCGTTTTATTTATTTTTATATATATAAACAGATACATGATGTTTACATATTGTTACCAGGAACTTCCAATCCCGTACAGAATGTCACAACATACCGGTACTGCTTAGCCCAAAATCTATGTGGGGTGGGTGGAAATCGTCCCACCGCAGCCAAAGAGGATTCATGTTTGGAATGGCATCATTCTACAACAGAGCATGAGATTGTGATGATTGAGCAGAGTCTCTCGAGATCCCAAGCATTCTCTTTCTACAAGCAACACTGCATGGCAAGCAAGGATGCGAATTTCACCGTCAATGGGGCTTTGGCATGTTACATGCCGGGAGCAACACAACACAAAGCGTTGTCGTCATGTGTTTGTCTAGGATAAATCGTATCCTCCTCATGTTTGGAAAGTTTTGAATAGCCTTGAAGATTTTCATGCAGATGAGCCGCCCAGTCATATTTACCTTCTCAACCCCTATGAAGCACATTCTGAGGTTTACACAGGATTTCTGTCAGAACCTGCAACAGTTAACATGGACACATGCAAACGTATGAAGAAGCATGGACACATGTAAATGTATGAAGAGGATGTTGCTTCTTCGAAGATGGTATGGAAAGACTCGTGACAATGAAGAAAGTTTGGGCCAGGAAAAATTTGAGGAAATTTCCCAAATGCGTGAAGCTTTCCTCATAGCTGCATTGTACCATCAATCAGATGTAGGTAGCCTCATTTTAAATGTTCTAGGCAGGTGCGAAGCGGATGTTCTCCTATAAAATTTATGGTCTACGATACTGATTCATGCAACACTTGTGATTTTCTGATCGTGATAATCAGATTGTCAGAGTGTGTTTCCATATGTTAGATAACCTCCTCCACTCAATATGGTAGATTAAATTTGAGCTTAACGATAGTTTACTAAACCAAAGTTGAGGGTCCTCTCAAATAAAGCTTGGTTTAACATCTCTGCATCTGAGCAGCAAGTGTGCTGCTTTTCGCTGCAAGTCAGATGTCAAGCTTTGCATCAACAATAATTTTCTGCGACACAGCAATTATTCATTTGAATCCAGGAATATATATGTCAAAATCAAGCCTGCATGCTTTTCTTGCTGGAATTCTATCTGAAAGTCTCTTGAGAAGCTAGTCATCTCTGCAGAGTATCTGTGAACTCTCCAGCGCGCAGTGTTGTAACAAGGGAAGTGAAACACGGAGATTATCCGTTTGAATGCTCTCACAACGATCATTGGGCTGCATGGCTTCCAGATATCTGCGATACCTTCTGTGTCATTGTCTCTCTCAACTGCTTCTCATCCAATGGTCCACATCAGCAAAGGACAAGGAGGCAGCAAAATAAAATATTTTGGAGGAAAACTCTCATTGAAAAACTCAAAGCACACATGTAAGCTTCCGAATCACACATCCGTCGCAAGCCTTCCAGCACACATGCATGTTGAGCTTCTGGTTCACCTGTGTCATTGTCTCTCTCAGCTGCTTCTCATCCAATGGTCCACATCAGCATCAGCAGATAGTTTGCATCTATGCCAGCATCAGGGAAGGGGTAAAGGACAATGAGGCAGCAAAATAAAATATTTTTCACTTTGTACTGTTATCGACATATAAAAATTATTCTAGTGAACATTTCAAATCAATTTCGTAAGGTCTCAAATTACCTGGTACAAATAACTGAAATCCCTAAACCACCCCTCGATTCCCAGGGACTACCCTCCTGACGGCCAAAATCCTACAGAATGGAACACTACTAGGCTACGGTAGCCGGGATCACCGGACAGCGGCCCCCGGCTGGCTGCCTGGCCAGTCACTGAGTGCCCGGGCGCGGCCCGGGTCGGAACTTCCTCTGGGACCGGCTCACGCCGGAGTCGGACGCCCGGCTGCCGCCAGAGTCGGCGGCCCGGGCCCGGGGTGGCGCGGGGGGTTCAAGTCACAGTTGCGGGAGCCTGACTCAGTGAGAGCGAACGGTACCATCACATGCCTCCGGAACATCACAGGAACATGACCATGATTGGATGCCTCAGGAACTTGACTCGCACTGACAAGTTTGCTCTTTACTCAAAGTTAAGTTTGCTGATCCTCCCCGCCCTTTTCCCAGTCGAGTCTTTAACCTTTGTATGGTGGGTGGAGTACCCACCCCACCCACCCGTCAGTTTCCGACAGAAAGCTACCTACATCCATGATCCGATCAGGGTAGGGGGTGGTGGTGGAAGTGCAATATCAAGGGGTGGAGAAGCGAAAGCCACAAACCTGCCTACGATGTCGAGCACATGTGGTATTGGGAAGAGACGTGAAGAACATGTACAAATGGACCGGAGAAAGAAGAGGAGAACAGACAAGAAGAAAGAGTATGCTGGTGAGAGGAGAACAGACAAGAAGAAAGAGTATGCTGGTGAGAGACAGCAAGAAACATGCGGCGCAGCGTTGCAGCCGCTGAAAATGATATTCCAAAATGCGTTGAATCGAGTCCTCATTGCCCCAGATCATCGCGAAAACTTGAATAATGCTTTCACAGCGCTAGAAGAAATGTACAATGACAAGCAAGCGCAGCTACAAGAGCTCAAGAAGGACAAGGCAGCGCAGCTACAAGAGCTCAAGAAGGACAAGGCAGCGCAGCTACAAGAGCTCAAGAAGGACAAGGCAGCGCTCCAGAAGCACAAGGCAGCGCAGCTGGAGATATCTCAGGGGTTGCTTCAGGATACACGCCGTTCCTTAGCTGAGGCGAGGGAGAAATGCCTTCAGACAGAATCCAGCCGACATGCAGTGCTCAACAACAGAGCCTTGATCGAGATCGGCTTGCTTCGCAAATTTCCTGGCATGACTACAACGCAAGCGCTCGATCATTTCATCGCTAAACATCTGCTGCAAAATCCAAAGCAACGCAAATCGCGTAAGCTTCGACCAGATTGCGTGAGCGTGTGCAATCAGCTTGCAAACCAGTACAACCTGGCCTGCAGCCACGCATCAGTAGCAAACGAGCTTTCAGGCCTGATGCATGAGATCTCCAAGCCTGTGCATTCTCGCATGAAAGCACCAGCCGGCTACTTCGTCGGAGGGCCATCGCCGCTCGCCCAGGCGATCGCATGCGTGCTCTTGAAGTTGCAGGGCCTCGGGTCCATTGCAAGAGACATGGATGTTTTCCTCATCGACGACGGGGGAAAGATCGTATGTCGATTAGCCAACGGCAAGATCCAACCAGCCTCGCCCTCGAAGCCTGGCAGCTGAGCTTGATCGGACATCAACCAGGGCTCACAGGAAGGACTCGGACCGTACAAGGCTCAAAGCGCTCGGAGCTGCCTGGGGCCCGGAGCGATCAGCCGCGCTGGAAGGCGTGAGGCCCTGATGACAGCCGTGATGATAGTGTGACTGAGCGGCATGGTTCATGCATTATCAGTAAAGTGCTTCAAACTAGGCGTGCGATTTGGCAAGCGATGGTTGAGGTCAAAAGGTTCCCGGTGTCAAGCTCCCAACTCTTCAAGGACAAAAGCATAACTCGAAACTTGCGCCGCGGTCTGATTGATCGTTGCATCTGAAACACATAGCTCGTTTGCAACGCACACTGATCTCATATTCTCACTGCCCTCTTCCTAATAGAGTAACAGACTTCCAAGATCCTCTGGTTATAAACCGAGTGAACGCAGATGGGCAGTCACTGCAGTCTGATCTGCATCCATACCATTATGATCATCATGCCTTTCCGCGGTCTCATCAGTGTCACTCGGGGCTGCTGATTGATTCTGTGGCATCATTATTTTCGAAAGAACCTGCACGAAACGCGATCTGCCTGGAAACAGGGAGAGTTCATCTGGTAGATAGCAAAAGCAAATAAATTCCCAATGCCAATATGGGACAGATCTCTGGATGGACTGGATTTGCATAGAGTCTGTTGGGGTCTCCAGGCTTGTCACCGCTCTGATCTGTTTTCGAGTGGGCAAAAGAAAGTTTGGAGACGATCTTCATTCCAGCACATGTGGTTGAACCGTTGAAGTGAATAGATTCGGCGTTTCCAGCGCGACACATAAGATTCCAACAAATGATGAGAAAGTTGCGAGCGAAGATGTAATATCTCTTGTCGGAAAACATCATGGTTTTGCAAAACAAACGATAGGTTGTCATGCTCATAGGTTCTTTGCCTGTTGTTATCTCCAGCACACTTGTTGCATCCATCTGATTCAAATCTTTCTTGAGGCCAACGTAACATTCTTGAAGAGCATTCTTGAATTCCAGCCGTAGGTCTTTCTGAAAATCTCTGAAAAAGCTGTTTATTGCCGATCGATGATTACTGTAAGTTGCAAAACCATTGTTCGGTGAAACGCTTAGCAGATGCGTGATCCACATACAGAAATGATAAATAGTCTGCGTCTAATTGATCGAAATGAATAGGGTAAACTCTTGGGGCATTCCCTGTTTCAATATTTCAGAGAAAATAATGCCACAAATGGCAGATTCCAACCTGTCCAAGATACAGAGTTCTCGTCCAGTACCGTTCGTATGATCCTCTTCGATGTAAGGGTGGACCTCCTTCTTGTCATGTCATGTGCTGGAAAGTGACATTTTAATGATATCTGTAAGATTTCATTAATACTTAGGGGGCCCTGAGTTCCCCATCACCCTATACTGCATGAGGTACTTTGCCAGCAACTTCAACACTCAGTCAGTGACATTAGATGATGTACTTTGAATACGGTCACCGTACCGTCAGATACAATCTTCATGGCCATCATTGATCAGTGAAAAAGGTCCAAAGAGGAGCGAGTAATGCCGCCACATCAGCATAGGATGCTGCTTTGTTGATTGCGAAAGGTGAGCCGGGCCGGGCGTATCATGAATGGTTCTAGCATCATCGAGTCATTGGTGACATTTCAAGTCACTCCCTTTCTACCTTTCATGTCATTCATCGAAGGGCGGAATGTGCGAAGAGCGGTATCATTCAATCATACACCATGAAATAGGCATTCATTTCACACCCTTCCTATGTTAATCTCTCATTCCGTTTGCGTTTTCTTGAAGCTGACTGCGATTTTCTTGAAGCTGACTGCGATATCCATGCGGCCTGCTTCGAAGGCCTCATGAGGTCTGACACTGTCATCCATGACAACTCAGAGAATCGTCCATCTATCGCCTCCAGTCTCTCAATCTTGTGACTCGCTCGTATTCTTCCATCAAGACATTCTCACATTGCTGATATATGAAGTCTGCTTCTTCCTTATCTAGATCGCTATTGTAAATGCTCAAGGCTCTTGCTTCTCTGTCTATCACTTTGATGAGGTATCGCACATCACTCAGCCTTCGACCGTCCGAGGTTGCTGGGGAGAAATCTGTGCCCCTCACTTGTTTGAAAGGTTTATGTCCTCGCCCTGCATTTCCAAAGTGCCAGAGAATCCATGCATCATATGTCTATGGCAGCGGTTGCTTCAACGTCGCCTGCTTCGCCGGAGGCTGCCTCGCTTGCGGCAGCCTCACCAGTCCTCTCCCTTTCTGCGTTGTCGCTGCCCTGCCCGTCATTCAAGAGGTTGTTGTTATTTCACTCATTGCTTTGTTTGCCATGAGTATTTGAGTGTTGTGCCATTGAACTCGGCGCGGCTGAGAGCACGAGTTTGGTGTAATTCAAACAGCTTTCTAAGCCTAGTATGCCACGGTTCTTGAGTATGATGAAAACGTTCCCAAGTTCGCAACATGCTGTATCGCGGGGACGAGCTAAGTTGTAACCAATGTCACTAGCTTGCACTCCGGCCGGGCCAATGTAAAGTCAAAGTCGTCGGAGCCTGAGAGCGAACGGTACCATCACATGCCTCCGGAACATCACAGGAACATGACCATGATTGGATGCCTCAGGAACTTGACTCGCAGTGACAAGTTTGCTGATCCTTCCCGCCCTTTTCCCAGTCGCGTCTTTAACCTTTGTATGGTGGGTGGAGTACCCACCCCACCCACCCGTCAGTTTCCGACAGAAAGCTACCTACATCCATGATCCGATCAGGGTAGGGGGTGGTGGTGGAAGTGCAATATCAAGGGGTGGATAAGAGCCACAAACCTTTGGCGTACGAGAATGTCGAGCACATGTGGTATTGGGAAGAGACGTGGAGAACATGTACAAATGGACCGGAGAAAGAAGAGGAGAACAGACAAGAAGAAAGAGTATGCTGGTGAGAGACAGCAAGAAACATGCGGCGCAGCGTTGCAGCCGCTGAAAATGATATTCCAAAATGCGTTGAATCGAGTCCTCATTGCCCCAGATCATCGCGAAAACTTGAATAATGCTTTCACAGCGCTAGAAGAAATGTACAATGACAAGCAAGCGCAGCTACAAGAGCTCAAGAAGGACAAGGCAGCGCAGCTGGAGATATCTCAGGGTTTGCTTCAGGATACACGCCGTTCCTTAGCTGAGGCGAGGGAGAAATGCCTTCAGACAGAATCCAGCCGACATGCAGTGCTCAACAACAGAGCCTTGATCGAGATCGGCTTGCTTCGCAAATTTCCTGGCATGACTACAACGCAAGCGCTCGATCATTTCATCGCTAAACATCTGCTGCAAAATCCAAAGCAACGCAAATCGCGTAAGCTTCGACCAGATTGCGTGAGCGTGTGCAATCAGCTTGCAAACCAGTACAACCTGGCCTGCAGCCACGCATCAGTAGCAAACGAGCTTTCAGGCCTGATGCATGAGATCTCCAAGCCTTTGCATTCTCGCGTGAAAGCACCAGCCGGCTACTTCGTCGGAGGGCCATCGCCGCTCGCCCAGGCGATCGCATGCGTGCTCTTGAAGTTGCAGGGCCTCGGGTCCATTGCAAGAGACATGGATGTTTTCCTCATCGACGACGGGGGAAAGATCGTATGTCGATTAGCCAACGGCAAGATCCAACCAGCCTCGCCCTCGAAGCCTGGCAGCTGAGCTTGATCGGACATCAACCAGGGCTCACAGGAAGGACTCGGACCGTACAAGGCTCAAAGCGCTCGGAGCTGCCTGGGGCCCGGAGCGATCAGCCGCGCTGGAAGGCGTGAGGCCCTGATGACAGCCGTGATGATAGTGTGACTGAGCGGCATGGTTCATGCATTATCAGTAAAGTGCTTCAAACTAGGCGTGCGATTTGGCAAGCGATGGTTGAGGTCAAAAGGTTCCCGGTGTCAAGCTCCCAACTCTTCAAGGACAAAAGCATAACTCGAAACTTGCGCCGCGGTCTGATTGATCGTTGCATCTGAAACACATAGCTCGTTTGCAACGCACACTGATCTCATATTCTCACTGCCCTCTTCCTAATAGAGTAACAGACTTCCAAGATCCTCTGGTTATAAACCGAGTGAACGCAGATGGGCAGTCACTGCAGTCTGATCTGCATCCATACCATTATGATCATCATGCCTTTCCGCGGTCTCATCAGTGTCACTCGGGGCTGCTGATTGATTCTGTGGCATCATTATTTTCGAAAGAACCTGCACGAAACGCGATCTGCCTGGAAACAGGGAGAGTTCATCTGGTAGATAGCAAAAGCAAATAAATTCCCAATGCCAATATGGGACAGATCTCTGGATGGACTGGATTTGCATAGAGTCTCTTGGGGTCTCCAGGCTTGTCACCGCTCTGATCTGTTTTCGAGTGGGCAAAGAAAGTTTGGAGACGATCTTCATTCCAGCACATGTGGTTGAACCGTTGAAGTGAATAGATTCGGCGTTTCCAGCGCGACACATAAGATTCCAACAAATGATGAGAAAGTTGCGAGCGAAGATGTAATATCTCTTGTCGGAAAACATCATGGTTTTGCAAAACAAACGATAGGTTGTCATGCTCATAGGTTCTTTGCCTGTTGTTATCTCCAGCACACTTGTTGCATCCATCTGATTCAAATCTTTCTTGAGGCCAACGTAACATTCTTGAAGAGCATTCTTGAATTCCAGCCGTAGGTCTTTCTGAAAATCTCTGAAAAAGCTGTTTATTGCCGATCGATGATTACTGTAAGTTGCAAAACCATTGTTCGGTGAAACGCTTAGCAGATGCGTGATCCACATACAGAAATGATAAATAGTCTGCGTCTAATTGATCGAAATGAATAGGGTAAACTCTTGGGGCATTCCCTGTTTCAATATTTCAGAGAAAATAATGCCACAAATGGCAGATTCCAACCTGTCCAAGATACAGAGTTCTCGTCCAGTACCGTTCGTATGATCCTCTTCGATGTAATGGTGGACCTCCTTCTTGTCATGTCATGTGCTGGAAAGTGACATTTTAATGATATCTGTAAGATTTCATTAATACTTAGGGGGCCCTGAGTTCCCCATCACCCTATACTGCATGAGGTACTTTGCCAGCAACTTCAACACTCAGTCAGTGACATTAGATGATGTACTTTGAATACGGTCACCGTACCGTCAGATACAATCTTCATGGCCATCATTGATCAGTGAAAAAGGTCCAAAGAGGAGCGAGTAATGCCGCCACATCAGCATAGGATGCTGCTTTGTTGATTGCGAAAGGTGAGCCGGGCCGGGCGTATCATGAATGGTTCTAGCATCATCGAGTCATTGGTGACATTTCAAGTCACTCCCTTTCTACCTTTCATGTCATTCATCGAAGGTCGGAATGTGCGAAGAGCGGTATCATTCAATCATACACCATGAAATAGGCATTCATTTCACACCCTTCCTATGTTAATCTCTCATTCCGTTTGCGTTTTCTTGAAGCTGACTGCGATTTTCTTGAAGCTGACTGCGATATCCATGCGGCCTGCTTCGAAGGCCTCATGAGGTCTGATACAGTCATCCATGACAACGGCTGCTCAGTGTCGGGCGGCTTGCATGCCAGTCACTCAGTGGTTGGAGGAGCGGTTTTCGCTGCCTTTTCCGTTTTCCTAGTATTTTATTGAGGCGGGTTTGTAGGCTTTATCCTCGTCCTCCTTTGTTTGCTCCGGTTTGCCTTTTCTTTTCAGTCAAAATGCACACTCTCCAGAACAGACAGGTAGGGAGAGGGGGGAGTGGGAGGGGGAGGGGGAGAGGATGGGGGATAAAGACAGTGTGTGTGTGTGTGTGTGTGTGTGTGTGTGTGTGTGTGTGTGTGTGTGTGTGTGTGTGTGTGTGTGTGTGTGTGTGTGTGTGTGTGTGTGTGTGTGTGTGTTTTACTCAGCAGTCACATGAAGTTGAAGCGCTGAGCTCACAGGTGGGGAAGGATGCTCATCAGAGCTCGCATGGGGAGGCTTGAGGAGAAGAGGACAGGACGCAGCAGCTTTTTCACGAGGGCCACGGCTAGGGAACCATGATGATTGTGAGGGAGGATGGATCTGCGTCGGGGATCAAGGGCGAGGAGAGCGGATCAGCAGGGCGGTCAGTGACTAGCGGGGAGGAGGACTCTGGGGGCAATGCAGAGGAGCTCCCAGCAAGCAGGCAGCCTCGGATGAGGGTTGCCTGTAAGCCCTGCAGAGATGCGAAGCAGAAATGTGACGAGCAGCAGCCGTGTTCGAGGTGAGGGAGCCGAGGGAGTGAAGGAGGTCACAGAGTCCCTGCAGGTGTGTTGGGTTCGGACTATCGCACAAGTGTGTCCGGATCAGAAGGTCCCAAGAGGCAGGGTATGGCGGCAGCAAGAGGGCCGGCATCGCTTGTGTAGTGTGTCGGAGCATCAAGACCAAGTGCGATGACCAGCGGCCATGCTCACGCTGCGTGAGGCTGGGGAAGGAGGCTATGTGCGTCGACGATGAGCAGGAGGCAGTGCCGGCAATGACCAGGCGGAATGCAAGGCGAGTGAGGACTGCGAGTGAGGGAGGAGGAAGTGCGCGGGAAGGAAAGGCTGTGTTGGAAGGAGGGACTGCACGGGAGGGAGGGGCTGAACGGAAGGGAGGGGAGATGCAGAGGACTCGTGCTAAGGGGTTGACGACTGTAGAATGGCCGCTCAACTTCAACACTCGAGCGATCCAATTCGATCAAGCTTCGCTCCTGGAAGAGCGAGTGGTCAAGATGGGGTGGCCGAGCTTTCTGCTCTCGCAACAGTGCATGTTCGGGTTCGATGCGAGGCAGCTGATGAGGGTGTTTCACACGCTCCCGCCATACCTGGAGATCGTGACGAGACGGGCCTTCCATGCGATTGAAGTCATCATGCAGTTCCATAAGGCGAAGGCTGCGCAGGCTCCATTGGATGGAACTTCAGACGCGAGGAACGCGAGTCAGATTAAGCAAATCTTCTACAACGCCATCAGTGAGGTCGGCGTTGCCAGGCTGAGCATCGATCCCGTGACGGGGAGGCGGACTGAGGTGTACGTGTCGGAAAGTCTCTCTCGGATGCTTGGGCTGCATGTGGAGGAGATGATCTCAAGGCTGGGGAGCCGGGAGCTCCCTATCATGACCACGGAGTTCAGCTATTTCTGCTATGCCATGCTCGGAACTTTGTCCCTGACCCTGCATCCCAGCAAGCCCTTTGAAAGCTTCGTGAGGGTGAGGGACCTTCGAGAAAACCAAGCTTCCTCTTGCCTCGTAGCAAAGCTGTTGCAGCAGCAGGAGTTTGACGCCGCTGGCCGGGTGATCGCCTTTAACAGCTGCATCATTCCGGTGGGTCAACCTCTCCTCTTCCCGTTCGTTGCCGCTGAGCCTTAGCTGGGCAGGTCAGCAGGAGAGAGTTTGAAAATGCCGTGGAGCATGACAGCAGTGCTCTGATGGCTGTCTCGAAGCATGCCATCGCAGGGAGAGGCTACGACATGCTGATAGACGACATGGAGCCTGACCTCTTCGCGGTGAGGAGGAGGAGGAGGAGGAGGAGGAGGAGGAGGAGGAGGAGGTGGTGGTGGTGGTGGTGGTGGTGGAGGAGGCAGGAAGAGGAAGGAGTGACGACAAGTTCTGGCAGAGCGAGACGATGGAAGGGATGCAGAAGACGCTGGAGGGAGAGCAGAGGCTCCGGCTGTTGGCGAAGGACATCGAGGAGAAGTTCCTGCCGGTGGTAGCCATCGCCGAGCAGATCTTGAGGATGCAGCGCAACGCCAACTTGCTGTGAGGGAGCGAGCAGCCGCTGCTGGTCCTCGGGGGCAGGCAGCGTGCGTGATGCTGGAAGACGGGGCGGAGAATTGTGAGTGAAGAGCGTTGGTGACGATTGTGACTTGACGATGAGAAGAGAGGGAGGAGGGAGAGAGGGTCGGGAAGAGGGACACACAGTTCCTCTTGGCTTGCAATATAGAGACATTAAGGCTGCACCTTAGCTCGCTCTCGTCACAAGCTGGGAGAGTCGTTGGGCTTCACTTGGAGCTTCTCCATCACCTTCTGCATAAACTTGTCCACTTTGACAATGGCTCTGGTATGAGTCCCTTCGCCGATCTTGTCCCCGCAACTGTCAGTGGCTGTCACCTTGAAGGAGAACTTGACCAGACATGCGCATCAGAATGGATCTCACTAACAACACAGTCACCTTCCTCTCGGTCGCTTCCTCCACTGTTGCCGTCGCTGTCACCGTCGCCCCCAGCTAATGATGACAGTCATTCCGGGGGCAAGAAGATGAGAGCAGCTTACTGGGGTAGGACTGAGGTGGGAAATGTTGATGGCTGTTCCCACAGAAGTCTCTCCTGCTTTGAGCTGCGGCGCAATGGCAGCGCATGCGGCCTGCCGAACAACATTCAGGAGCCTCTACATTGCTGGCTCCTCTCCTCATCGACCCCGCACTACTCGGCTCCTCCTTGTCTCACCTCCTCCATCAGA